TATCCAACTATCTCAGCTAAAAGGGACTTAGGGGATCATTTAGTGCAACACTGCACCTGAAGTAGGAAACCTCTTTGGGCAAAGACACAAAAGTATTTTAACTGTTCTATTAAGTAGAACAATTAAGACTTCATTACTAAAAGTATGACCAACCACCTTTACAAAGAGAAAACAAAATATTAGAAGTATTAGGGGAGCGCTAGAGAAGGCACTGACTTACAACAGGAGTTGCGCCCCAGAGTGGTGAACTTCAAATCACAGGCTTTCTGACTATCATTTAATACAAAGTGGAAATGGAAGAGAATCAAGTCTAACAGGGTAGGAAGGGATCTAAATGAAGCTGTAACTGAGGGACAGAAGCCCACAGAGGTATTCCAGAATTTAGTCAGTAGAAGTATAGAAAGATGACAAAAAGAGTGACAAAGAGTTATAGGGGCAAAAATGGAAGAAAGACAAAGGATAAGAGGATAAGATACTACATGGCTTAATGTATGATCAGCTCTTACCTAATAGCATTAGTGAAGACCACATTATGAAAATTCTTGTATATTATATAGAAAAGGTTACATTTTATCCTGAAAGCAAAGTAGGAATATGCAAAATGGATTGTAGGGAAACTCATTTTGAATCAGAGGGACTAGTTTGAGCCTCTTTCAGAAATTAAGATGAAAAATGTTGAAATCTTAAAACCAAACAGTGGTGGTGAAATGCAAAGAAGCATTTAAAGCCACTTAATTGATAGAGTTGGTTATATGAAGGGTAAAGCTTTTCTCTTAAGATACCTAGAATGGGTGGCCTCTTTCACAAATCTCACATTCTAATTAATTTAATGACTTTGTGTGAGGAATTCAGTATTAGACATGTTGAATTTGCGTTTCAAGAGTAATAATGAATAGGTGTTTAAAAGTCAACTGATAAACAACTGGACCTACAAAGAAAGAGCTGGGTCAAGTTCAATCTGTGATATGATACAGAACATTTAGTATGGTGAACTAACACACACACACACACACACACACACACACCCCTCTTTATTTCTGCATAGCAACAAAATGCACTTGAGATTCTTTTTTAAAGTCTCAAATAGAAAATACTTTAAATAATCAATCACAGCTTTATTTTCTTCCTTTGAAAGATATGTAGAAAAGGATGCACAGGGCCTCTCTAGTGGCACAAGGGGGTTAAGCACAGCACTGTGAAGCTATCTGCAGCCTCTGCAGTGCAAGTTCCAGCCGCAGGCAGCCAGGGAGCTACCCACATGGCACAGAACTCTCCTGTCTTGCCCACTGCTCCCCTCAGCAGTGTATTTCAGTCCATCTGCCTGTTCTGCTCCCCACTCTGTCTCTGGTGAATCATTTTGCCCCCTGCACCTCTGGTCTGTACCCCAGTTCTTGTATATATAAATAAATAAATCTTTAAAAATCACAATCAACAAGCAACTATAAACCAGAGACATACTGTGGGGAGAGGGAGAAGGAGGGATTAGGGTCAATAAAAGTGGGGCGGGAATTATATGGGTAATATAACCAAGATGAAAATGCATGCATTGTGAAAAAATGAAAAATGATGTAAAAGATACACAAAATAAAATTTTAAAAAAATAACAGAAAAGAAAAAAAGAAAAGCATGCCCAATCCGTGTAGCTTCTGTGACACAACTGGTTAAAAGAAAAGTCATGTCAAGACTTCTTACATCATTCTTTTATCGTGGGCTATGCTTTCAGCTGTCACTTATATTAGCTATATCTAAGAAAATATATTAGGTAACTATTATTATTTCTTTAAAAAATGACTTTTGTATTTGTTTATCTTGTAGAAACATTCTTATTAGAAGATATATGTATATATAATATACATGTACAGTTTAAAGAAAATTATGAATTTCCATTTTCCAAATATTTTCCTTTATGACTGCTTATGGGTTAATTTAATATGCCTATTATGAAAATGTATGGGTATAAGTGAATACAGATTTTTTTTATTCCAGCGATACAAAGCTACACTTTGTTACTGTTGTTATAGCTGCTTCCAAAAAACTCTAAGATATGTATTTATATATAAAATTCATAATAACAGTTGCATTTACTATTGCCACAGGAAGCATATTAGATATAAAATCAGCAAATAAAAGAAATGCTGAGCTTTCACGTTCTTACAGCAGTAGGATGCTCATAGCCAAATTGAAAAAAGCTTAACTGAAGAGATGTGCCATGTACTGAGAGCTGAAATTCAATAGCCTTAGGTATTTATTGAACTGTGAGAAAACAGAGTATCCAAGCTTCTATAAAACATGTTTTTTCTTAAGTCACATGTGTTTTTAATCTAATAACTGTAGCTACTGAAATGTACAATGTGAATTTAATCAGTGACATATTACTACACGCTAAAAATAACAATAAATCAAATAGATAGATCAAAGTAAAATCTTCAGATTGTAGTGACTAATATTTAAGTGCTCAATTTGATGATATCCAAAATTCAAATAGAGGCAAAAACAACAGAAGACTTTCCTGAATAGACATTAAAGTTACGCTTTTATACGTTAAACATTAAACACCAAATGCCCATGAAATTTAAAAAATATATATATACTACAGGCTATAAACAAACATATTAATGTAAGAGGTGGAAACTAGGATTTCTGGTTATGATCTATGTGCTCACAAATTGGGGCATGTTATCATCTTTGTTTCCCAGGACCTGATAGAAACAGTTCATCCCACATCAAATAAATCAACAAATATCTGCAAGAGAATGAAGAACATGAAGGAAGAAAAAAAAACATTTAACTAATAATACCAACAGAGCAATGTAACAATGATTATCATATAAATCTGTTCAGTACGTCATCAATAATTATCGATAACCCTCTCCTATAAAATCTCAAAGAGCCTTTCTCCAATGAGAAAGTTTTCACTGTGAAATGCTTCCTAGCTCTTTGAAAAATGTTGGAACATGAGTACACCTGTTTGCATCTGTCCATCTTCAAGATAAAGTCAACTGAGTAAGATAAAGAGGTGGACATCAATTTCACCTAACTTATTCTTCATTTTAATAATTTTCAAAACCTGTGGTTGCTCTAAGAATGACTTTTCCAAAGTAGAATGCCAATCTATTAAATATATTGAACTAGCTTCAAGGAGTTATAAGTTCTACATAGTGTTTTCATGTTTCAAAAATCTTCTCAAGTCATGAACTTGCTGGATGCTATTTTAGAGAAACTGAAAAGGTTTTCTTACTCATAAAAGCAGGAGACTAAATGCACTTGACTCCCATTTCACAATTTCTAATATACCCTCTCTTTACTTACTAGAGAATACTCATCACTAATGACACTGTATAGGGACATAGTTTTAGAATTACTGAAACTTTCCAAAATGAAATGCAACAACAGCTAAAAAAAATAACATTCAAGAACTGTGAGGAAATTTCAAAGGTGAACATGGATGTTCATGAAATACCAGGAGAGAACAGAAGAAATAGATGAATGATGGGGTATCAAATTATTTTCTCCAGAAATATTCAGAAAGGGCTTCCTTGCCCCTCCCAGGTACAGAGTAACTGGGAGTCCTTGCTTTCTTCCTTTAAATAAACTTCACTTTTTTTCAAACAAAGAAAAAAATTCATAGATTAATTCAACAAATATTAATCAATGATTACTTGGTACTAAGTGTTCTTCAGTGTACAAGCAAAGAACTCACTGCCCTAAGCTTAGTTTCTAGTAAGAGAAGCAACAGACAAACTAAGAAACGTTGTTAGCCATTGATAAGTGATATGAAGATTTGGAAAGCAGTGTCCTGGGATTGATGGAGCTAGAGTAGACAATTATTACTGGATGGCTTCTCTGAAAAGTGAGAGAGTCAGGGATAAAAACTATTCAGGAGACAGGGGATGAACCAGAAACAATTGTTGAGTATCTAGTCTTTCTCCACCCCATCTCCTTATATGCCCCTTAGTTTATTCAGTCACCCTGAGCCACTAGAGCAACCTCCCAATTCTTAGCTTTCTATTCCATTACTGCTTCAGTATTCTAGTCCTGGCATAGGGGCTTTTAGTGGTGTAATTCACTAAATATTGATTATTGGATTTCAAACAGTTGAGGCCATGACAACAATAAATTTAACCCATCAGAACCGGTGTAGACTGGTTTTACACAGTCAGAAGTGGTCAGAATTATTTTATCTAATCAGAACCAATCAGGACTGGTTCTGCACAGTCAGAACTGGTTTTATAAAGTCAGAATCAGTTTTATCCATTTAGAACCCATCTGGATCAATTTTACCTAGTTAGGACCAGCTATATCTATTCAGAACCAATCAAAATCAGTTTGAATCAGTTTTATTCAGTCAGAACCAGTTTGAATGAATTTTATCCGGTCTGAAATTATCTGGTTAGAATGGGTTTCAATCAGTTTGAACCACTTTTATCTGGTCAGAACTGATGGGAACCAGTCAGAACCAGTTTTATCTAATCAGAACTGGACAGAGCTGGTTTTATCTTATCAGAACCAGTCAGAACTGTTTTTATATAGTAGTGCAAAGCTATTCAAGTTAAGATCTCATGTCTTAACCAATATTTCAGTACATATGTGACAGATTAAGAATTTTAAAAATGAACACAAAGCATGAGTGTGCATTGCTTATCACTCTTAGTAGATCACAAATTCATCAAAGGTAGACACTGTTACCAGCTGTCTTATAATAATTACAATATCTATCACACAAGATCAGTAGCTGACTTTTGAACAATGAAGTTAATGATTAACTGAACGAAGAGTATGAAGAATTTTCTGTTATTCAGAAGATAAATGTTATATGTATAACATAAGATGTTCTCCATATTTACAAAGTCCAATTATAAAGTCATAAATATGAACAAAAGACAGAAAATGGTGTTAAGACTGAAAAATGATGACAATTTCTTGGAAGAAATTATGCAAATCATAGATGTTTAACAGCAAAAGACCCATGGAAGTAATAACCCAGAAAAAAAATTACTGACCTTAGACAAGATGCAGTCTCATGGGTTATGGGGTGCTGCACTTTAATGAACAGGTCTGATGAGATGATTCATGTTGCTGTAACCATGGAGCTAGAAACTGAAGCTGGAAATAACCTAGAGGCATTTTTGTCCATTTCTGAAGTATAAAGCTGTATATTTCCACAGCAGAGGATATACCGAGAAAAAAAAAAAAGATAACCAGCTAATTAAGCAAAAGATGAAATTAATTGAACAGAAATGATTAGAGTTTGGCTAAGTTCTTGGTAAAGAAAGGATAATGTACTATTATTAAGGAGTAAAATTATCTTGCCCTGCATAGCAGAGAGCAAAGGAGTCTATAGTCAGACATTTTAACATGATATTAAAGTTTTAATAATAAGCATAACTTAATTGTATAATTCTACCAAAGCAACATCTTAACCTTTTCAGGAACATTTTCAAATATTCCTGGATAGACTAGAAAGATCTTTTTTTTGCATATAGTTTTCTTCCAAATCCCAAAACCAATATGCAAAATGTACTAAAATACATACAACACTCAGTTCAGGGCACGATGCTATATTACAATGCATTTCTTTCCTGATGACAAGATTTGAAGAACATTATTTTAAATATCTATCCAGAATACTATATTGGGCAATTCTAGCTCCTCTGTCTCCAACATCTTGCAAATTCTTCTGAATCCAATATTAGATATTTGTCTTGGTAGGTATCATTGTGGCTTCCATCACATCCCCCTTTTCTGATTCAGTAACATATAAGCTGCACTCCTATCTAGAAATCACAGCCATACCCAGAGATCAGAGTTTTACTATCTAGGAAATAAAAGCACTCAATTTCCCACCCAATGTCTACTGCATTATATCCTAACTCACAGAAAATCATCCCCGTAGCATTAGAACATAAGTATTTTTAAAAGAAATTATATTTGTTGGAAAAACTAACACACATATAATAACTCCAAACACTACAATTAGAGAAGTCTCTCTCTTTAATGCAGGTCAGACAGCAGAGTGGAATAAGTATGAATGGAGATTCCAAGTTACTAAGTTCAAACCTTAGGCAAAATCCCCACCTTATCTCAGCTTAAACTCCCTTGGTTTATACATGAAAATTATAAAGTTGATAATGTTTCCAGTGACTGCATTATTACCAGCTGTGTATCTGTCAAGATTGATTCCCCCTGCTCTTGAAAACTCTTCAAATTACCTTAGGTATAAATTATAATGACAGTAACAATAGAAAAGTAGAGGAACTATAAGTTTGAGAGGCTTGTGAAGAAGAAAAATGGCAAGGCATAATGACTAATTAAAAAGAGACTTCAATACAACTAGCATAAAAACTAGCTTAAAATAAGTTAGAGGGAATGGCAGTTTCAATGACAAAGGCAGGGAAGTATATGGGACAATAAATGGAGATTCAGGAAGGAAGACAATATGTTCTAATATGAATCTGTGCAATCTGAATAGGTTTAATTTTAAATATCACATGAAAATTTGTGAATCTATGTACTGAAGGGAATTAAATCTGTGTATAACCTTTACTTTAGGATGAGGCAACATCATAATAAGAATTTGCTACCATATAACTATTCTTTCTGAGTGGAATCAATCATACATATATTCCACCTACATCATAGCATAGGCTCAAAGGGTAAGTTTGTTTTTCTATATTACATTGACAGTAAGTGTCTTGAACTCAAATTGGAGGCACAATGTACTGATTAAGGTAGAGAGAATAGAAAATATTGTTAAAATGCATAAGCTATCTCTGGTCCATAGACATGAGGTAGTCTATTTTTGTGAAATGTTTTTATTTCATAGTGGCATATGAAAATAAAAATATACATTATCACAATTGAATTTGAATGTAATATATTGTTTCATTAGAGTTTTGCACCATTAAATTCAATCTAGTGTTTGGTACAGAAATATATAATATTTAAGACAGGAAATGTAGGGAGAAAAAAGACTTAAGAAAGAACTGTATCCTGCCACCTAAAATATGCACCCAGGCTTTCTGCTTCTTTTGTTGGCATTTAAATTCCTGTGCAAGTAAAACAAAAAATACTCTTTGATCAGCCACCTGAGAACTAATTTTCACTCCTAAGTACATGTTAGGATGCTATAAAACTGGAATTTCAGAAATGCCAAAACTGCTGCTAATCAAGATACAGAATTCCTATTGATCTGCTTAAAATAATTTAAGATTCTCGGGACCTCCCTGGTGGCACAGTGGGTTGAGCACAGCACTGCGAAGCTGTCCGCAGCCTCTGCAATGTCAATTCGATTCCCAGCCGGCCAGGGAGATTCCAACATGGCGGGGCAGACCTCTCTTGACTCACCTACTGCTCCCCTCAGCAGTGTATTTTAGTCAATCTGCCTGTTCTGTTCCCCACTCAGTCTCTGGTGAATCATCTCACCCCCCACACCTCTGGCCTGTACCCCAGTTCTTGTATGTATAAATAAATCTTTAATTTTTTTAAATTAAAAAAAATTAAGATTCTCATCACAATGAACACACTACTGGATGTTCTTCAAGGAAACCCATAACACTGTCATTTTAAAAACAGAGAGTCAAGTCTTATATATATATATATATATATATATATATATATTATATATATATTATATATATATTAGATAGATAACATATAGATACATATATTAGATAGATAACACACTAAATCACATTTCCTTTTTTTAAATCTACTACCAAATCATGAATTGGGTGGTAGCATGACTATGGGAAAAGTATCACAATGAAGCTCATGATTCTAGATCTCTGATATCCTTGATCTGATACTTATTTACTTGGAATATTTTATTATAGTCAACATTCTCCAAATTTCTTGGTGATCCGGAGATAAATATCTGCATCATTCAATTAAAAATCCAATTGGGGGAAGTTGAGGGACACTCAGAGAGTAAATGACTTAATGGATGCCTTCTGACAGTTCTGGTTAGTAATTTTAGCACATCGCCTTGAATAGAGTAGTTGTGATTTTACCAAATATTTCACAGTTTTGAAACATTATTTTATTCAATCCATAATGCAACACTAATCATTAGGAAGGATAATAACTGCTTTAGTCTTTCTTCTGCTTCATTTGAGACATGTCTTAAACAAATCATTCATCTTCCCATTTGCATTAGTTTCGTTATTAACAGGAGGTAATTCACGCAAATGGAAAAACAATTAACAGGGTACCATTAACTTTTGTTTACCATAATGACACCTTTTTGCATACACTGCCTCCCCAAACAATACTTGGAGTCTCAGGCATAGTTTAGCTGATAAAGTCTCCCTTAACTTGCTAATAACCTTCTAAGTTTCCATTAGAAAAATGGTCTAATTAAAAAAAAGAAGAAATGCCACAGTTGCTATCAGCCTAGGTATGACAATATTGCCTTGAGACATCCTCACCAATATATCTAAGGTACCTCCAAATTCTTTATCCTCTTCATTCACATCACACTTTAGAAACAGGATTCCTTTATTTATAATAAATCTAGACTGATGACTGCTTCTATTTTAAACACTGTTGATAAACCAGTTTAATCCTATGTTTTAGACTTTAAAATGTATAAGGTGGAAATAATGGGACTATTTACTACTTAAACTAATTGTAATTAGTATCTTACCTCTAAATCCACATGGAATTGGAAAGGGAAACCTGATGTAGAAAGGATATTCTCTCTGTATTTATTCATTCCTAGAATTAGCTATCGATCATTTACTTGTTCAACAAATAAGTTCTAAGCTCCTATTACATAAAACACCCCTTAGCTGTTTGAACATTTTCAAACACAGGAAGACTGTAGGGATGTGTTTGTAGGGAGAAAGTGATTAGCAATAATAACAGGATGTTAGATACCTTGTTTGTCCCTCCACATCTGTTTTTCATTTTGTTTTACTATTTCTACCCCATTCTTAGCTTCATGAGGTTGATCTACATGGGATGAATTCCTGGGATTCCACTTGGGTTTGTCCAATGGGAAGGCACCAGAGGGCATAAAATAAGGAAAGTCAGGTATTTATTTCTTTCATCCTTCCTTCTCGCCTTCATTTAGCTCTATCTCTCTACTGAAGGCACAATTCCAGAACAAGAGACTCTTTGCTATAACTCTCAATTCTAGTGAATTCTTGGTGCCTTTGCTTTTTCAGAAATAGAAATAGGGCTGTTGAAGGAAAAACCTCTGAGCCAGCAGGCAATGCTTCTGACTCTACCCCCTAATGTCCTCAGTGAGGACCACTGCAGCACAGTTTCCATCCCCATCAGGTCAGGGAGCTACCCACATGGCCCAGCAGACCTCTCCTGCTCGCCCGCTGCTCTCCTCAGCACTATATTTCAGTAGATCTGCCTGTTCTGTTCCCCACTCTCTCTGGTGAATCTTCTCACTACCACCCCCCTGCACCTCTGGCTTACACCCCAGTTCTTGTCTGCATAAATAAATAAATCTTTAAAAAAAAAGGAATTTCAAATAAGTGACACCTAAGCAATATGAACAAACTCCTATAGGAGTGTGAGGTGAAGAGAATTCACCTCCACTTAGCATAATCAGGAAAGTCTCCACAAGGGCAGGAGACATGTCTGTTTGATGTTGCAGGTACTTGATAATATTCCTTGAAGATTGCTGAATAGGGAAGTGATATTTTCACTGGACCTTGGAAAACAGCTGTGCTTGAAATGGGAAGACAGGGAAATGTACTACTGTAGACAGAATGAACAGTAAAACTAAAGAACAGAACAGCAAGAACCTGCATTCAAAGAACAAATTCCTTAATAGAAGAATGCATCCAGAGTGTTAGGGGGAAAAGGCGGTCCCAAAGCAAATTCCATACAGGCTTTGTGGACTCCACCCCCACCCCAGGTCAAAGCCAAAGACACTGGGAACTCCAAATCCCATCACCACCAAAGGGAAGGTGGCTGGGACCTGAGGGTGGGGTTAAGCAGCCAGGTGGATACAAAAGGCAGACATGTGGGCTTTGGGGGCTCTCTCCATTTTTTTGGGCTCTTGGCCAGCAGCAGCGTCCGGTCAGCTCTGAGAGTGACTTTGGGGTTTCCAGGTCGTCGGATCGGGTAGGACGCATTAAAGACTTTATTTCCCTATTTTCTCCCTGAGTTGTACATTTTCCTTATTTCCTT